CAGTTGGAAAACTGCAGCGAAATTTACAAGATCAGGCAAGTAACCTCTGTGGAAATATTGGACTGCCGCCAGAACGTGAAGCTGGAAACTGAATTCGAGCTGCTCAGTGTTTTCCGACTTGCCAAACGCTGCAATCCACTGGCCACTTTTGTTATTTTCTGCAAGCGTATTTAGCTTAGGGACGCAAATGCTGCGCAAAATGCAGTAAAAAAGTAGACGAATTAGACAAACCGACTGAATGTGCTGCTGAATTTGCGAAGCACTTTTTGGAGTTGAAGAATTCATCTGTGAATCAACAAAGGATAACCACTGTAGGCTTGCCGCATGAGAAAGCAATGCGCGTGCCGCATTCAGCTCCGTGACGAAGCTGCCGTGAAAAACTTCTTCTAGAAGACCACGCTTTGCAGCACAAACCTCCTTCCACACTTGCGAAGCGCATACCGCTACCTCAAATGCAGTGCACTTTGAAAGACAAAACACTGCTGCTAATGAAGTTGAAAAACAAAAGAAATGTTAGCAACGGGTTTGCATACAGATATGAAAGATACAACCGGCATTACCCCACTTCCTGCTCACAAAACAACCGTGAAACTACAAGATGAGCTGATGAAAAAATTCGAGATTTTATTTGTTATAAGCTGCTTCGCAGCGTGACAGCAAAAACGGTACCTGGGCGCTGCCACGATCAAGTTTTGATGCCTCTTCCTCCTTTGGAAGAATGTCCGGGGTGACCGAAAGCATGAATAAAAGGTGCGTGAGACCGCCGAAGAAAAGCTGGTCGTTATGTGTGGGGGATAGCACAACATTTCGATTCAGGATAATTTCCGAAAGTGTGTCCAAAATCGACATTTGCACTGCACATTCAAAATAATTAGGTATAACAATCATAAAATTTAACAATGCAGACCATCACATTTCTCACATGACCGGCCAAACTTCCGTGCGAGAAGTGAGTCCAAAAAAAAAACCTGTCAAAATCAAATTGCAATAAACACAGTCCTAAGACTCGCAGTCATTTGCTCTAG